CAGGGGCTTTTAGATAGAGGGTAAACACGCAATTCAGACGTGCGTAGCCTAGGATGAGGAACAAGCACTAGCCTGGGTAGCTTCACAACGAAAGAAAGGACAAGGAGGGTACTAGTGCACTTTTTTTCCTATATATTTTCCTACCTCCTGCCAGGAGGCCCTGCAGGGCCCAGTGGGCTGCTCTGCAGCTGGCATGGGCAGTATGGATTGGTTTGTCTCTACATTTATGGCCGCGCGAGCAGGGAAATGCAGAGCCGTCTCGTTTGCAGGCTGTTTCAGTGCTAGTGGAGGAGCCTCAATGAGCCCGTGTGACCCCCAGCTCCCCGGCTGGGCTCGAAGGGCCAGAGGCCCTGGTTTTGCATGGTGTTGGTTCCTGCATCGCTTCCCTCCATGAGGTGCCCCCGTTCCCCCTCCCGGTGCTCGGTGCAGCCTCCGGACCCTTCCCACGACCCAGCCTTTGTGCTCCCGCCTGGCCTTGCACGGTGGAGGAGCCTCACTGCAGCTCGCAGGCGGGCTCACGGGAAATGTGTGGCTGCGCCGTGCTGTGCACCTGGTCCAGATGCTCGCGTCGGGAAGCCCTGCCCACGGGATCAGAGCTAGCGCCTGCGGCTGAATGACTCAGAGCAAACCACGGCAGCAAGTGGAAAAGAAAATCAGGATTGCAAAGGGCTGAATGAATATACAGCTTCTTCCCGGTCCCTTCAGCTTTTGACTTTTGAGCATCTCTTCCCAAACCACAGCTCTCCCCCTGCACCGCTCCATGCAGAGGGACCCGCTGTCTCCATCTCCCCTGGGAAAGTCCATGCTCGCAGGGAGAGAGAAGCAAGCGTTACCGTACAAGTCTAGCAGAAATGCTTCACGTCTGGCCTGCCTTCGAAGTCAGGCCATTAAACAGCAGATTTTTTTCTTCAGCTTAATTCACAAATGCGTATTAAAAAACATGGGAAGCAAACCACGGAGTCTGGCAAAATCATTGACTTTTCTCTGCTCCAGCTGCTTTCTAGCGAGCGCACCTTGATGCGGGTGATGGGCATTTTTCAGACTGCTACCTTTGGATTATCTAAGAACAACTGCCTTTGCGGAGACTAGAAATCATGTGCAATACACTGTAATGCCAAACAGCTGTTTTCAGGTACTGTTCGGGAAGGAAGCATATTTATCTGCAGTTTAGATGAGTTGGAATATTGTCCACGACCTTGTAGTGATGTTTTAACTACTGCTTTACGGTGGAAAAGCCAGTCGGTGCTCTCCATAACCTTCCTTGAGGCAAAAAGGAGGAGGTTGTTTACATTAATTTGCATGGTACATACAAATCTATGGCCTAGGCTGCATAGTCACACTTGAATTACCTGCTGGCTATTGTGGTTGAACAGGATCTGACCTACTTTTAAACAATGTAACTAAGGTCTTTTAAATGCAGATGTTCAAACTAGCTCTAGAGAATCCAGCTGTGGCTTCAAAACAGGGAATTTGGTCATGCAGTTGAAGAGAGAGTTATTGAGCCAGGCTGGCTGAGGACCTTGGCTGAAGATGACACTAACACCCATCAGCTGAGCCCAGTCCCCCACAGAGCGGTGGGGGCTTTAAATTGCTTTTGGGAAAAGCAGTGGAGCTGGTGTAAAACGCTGTATCTCTGAAGGTTTGCATTAACTTCTCTGTTTTGCTTTAAGCTGGCCAGGGAGGATGGATATGACTGTTTCTGCCATGTGGGCAGAAACCTCTGCTAGAGAGGAAGAAAAAGAGACAGCCAGGGAGCCAAGGAGAGAGAGCAACGCTCCCAGCAGCCGCGGGGTGCAGTGCTCCCAGCCTTGGCGAGTGGCTTCCCACGTGCGGTGGTGTGCTGGCACCAAGGGCATGCTCCTGCTGTGGCCCCGGCAGCTACGGATTTACTAAAAGCAGGAGACCCAAACTGGAGAGTGAGGGGGGGAATGAAATGTTC